GAGAACTCAGCAAATCTTCTTCTCTCTGGGTGCCTACTGATATTCTTACCTTTGAAGACTTTTGGTATTATCTAGCAGGACCTTTGGTTATCAAACTAGTCGATCATTTACCATAAATTGTAAGGTTCCATGATCCCAAAAGACTTTGGACTTGACGTTTGAAGGCAAGACAATTCTCGATGGTATGTCCTTGAGCTCCGGCATGATATTCACAATGAACATTGATGTCATACCAATTTGGATATGGAGGTTGGAACGGTTTTATGTAATATGGAGCCACTTCTCGTGCTTCAAGTAACTTTTACAACTTTATATGATATAGGTTATAGCATCAACATGAGAACCACCTTTTGTCTTGGATTGAACCTGAGTTTTAGTCATTGGGAGCAGACAAACTTTGATGATTTCTGATCACATGATTTCTTCTCATCTCTGAGGCTTTTACAGTAGTCACCATTTCTTTGGTATTTCCAGACGATTTGTGAATAGAATGATAACTGTCTGTAATTTCTCAAGTTGGTTAGGATCAGAATTCCCTTGCTATTGAAATTGCATGATTATTTATTAAGCTTTCTCTTTCTGTGCAGGAATCTCTTCTCTTTTGGCCAAAACAGATATCCTTTCCATCATCTTGGACATCTGGTCTCTTATCTCACGTATCTCCTTTTGATCTTTAATGGGCATACAATCTTTGGGTGCATAGCTCTCCTCTATCCTTGGATTTCCCTGAGGATGTCTTTTCTTGGCCGCATCATATTTTGTTTGATCATAGAACTTTTTGTCCATTTATGATTTCTTTCTAATTTGATGAACAGTCTTTTCAGTTAACACCTTTGTTCATGATTATGCAATGCAAACAAAAGAAAACAATATAAACAAATTAGAACAAAAATAACATGCATATGAAAATAAGAAAAAAAATAAAATGGTTAACAAACTTTGAAAGAAAAAAATTTATTTATCATGGTATATAATAAATCTAACCTCATGCTTTCTAATTCCCATGCTTTGTTTGGAAAAATTAACCTAACTGCATGATTTCTAGTTCGCATGCATTTATTCAGGGAAAAAAAAAAATAATAATAATTAAAAAAATTAAAAGCTATGCTTATTCTCCTTTGTGTACACCTATGAACAAAGGTTTACAGTCTTAGATTAGGTGAATTTCTAGGGTATTATATGCAGGGTTTTAGTTCTAGGAGTAAAGGTACTCGAATTGTACTTGTTAGTGCCCCTTAGGCTGCCAACCCTCAACCTATCCATCACAGACTTAAGCGGATCGAGTTCAAGTCGAGAGGACACATTTCTCTATGCCTGATACGGAGAATAAATTCTCACGAAGACATAGAGCATATGAACCCTGAAAGTTACTTGCTAGGTCTGACACGGAGAATAATTCTCACGAAACGTCGCTTTGTTATGCAATGCAAGTTGTGTGTGAGGAGAAATATTCAAATCTATAACAAACAAATAAATAATGAAATTTAATACTGAAAATAAAATAATAAATATAATAATATTATGAAATAATAATAATAAAAAAATTGAAATAAAAGAAAAAATTAAATAAATGATTTTTTTTATTTCTAATTAGTAGAGACAATTTATAATTTGATTTTAAGTTTGACAACAGGGTTCCCAGTGGAGTCGCCAAGCTGTCGTAACCGGTTTTCGTCCGGGCACGAAATATTTAATTGGTGGGAAAATTGATGTGAATAAATGGTTTTTAAAATAATTTGGGAGTCGCCATCGGCCTTTTGGGTCAGGTAGGTCGAATAATTTGGGAGTCCTAAAAAAAAATATCTTTTAAAAGAGTTTTTAAGAAAACATCAATTAAAAGATAAACTGATCTGCATTTTAACCAAAAATTTGTCTTTTTAATAATAAAAAGGGATTCGTTGTCGGTTACGTTTAGGGAAGGATTAGCACCCCTACAACGCCTAAAATTGGTACTTTTTAATTATAAATTGTCTCTATTATTAAAAATTAAAAAAATTCAAAATATATTTAATTTAAATTTATATTATTTCAAAATTAAAAAATATTTAAAAATATCGGAAAAGAACTTCTAGGTGCCTTAAGACAGCTCTTTTCTTCAATATTAAATAAATAAATGACAAACATTTTGTATGACAAAAATTTATTTTAATATAGTAAGATATTTATTTATTCAAAAATATCAGAAAATGGCTTCTAGGTATCTTAAGACAGCTCTCTTCTTTGATATTAATAAATAAAATATATTAAAATTTTAATATTTTAAATAAACTAAATTATAAATTTTATAATATTTAATTATTTAAAATACCAGAATAGGACATCCAGTTATATTAGGACTGCCCTTTCTTTGATATCGAAAATAAATAAACATTATTATTTAAAAAATATATATATATTTATATGACTAAGATAATAATAATAATTAAAGCAATAATTAAAATATAAAAGTAATAACAAAATAATATTGTAATTAAATAATGATCAAAATAAAAGAAATTCAAAAATTATAAAACTAAATATAAAGTATTAAAAATAAAGATAATAATTCGAAATATTATGAAAGATAATGATTAATAGTGTAATTTAACCTAATTAATTAATACGTGATTAAAATAATAATTAATAAACTATGAGGGACTAAATTTGATATTTTCCTAAATATATTATTTAATATAAATGACTAAAATAAATAAAATTAAAATTAAAGAACCGAATTATAAAGATCTAAAATTGAGTTCAGTGACTAAAATATAAAGTTATAAAATTATAATGGCTGCGGGAAGGGTTTACCCTTTCTTAAATTACACAGATACCCTCCCCAGAACGACGTCGTTTGGGGAGGGTTTTAAATACCCTAAACGCCTGGCCCGAAGGGCCAAGCTTCTCATTTGCCTCTTTCCTTTCTCTCTCAAAACGAGAGAACCAGAGTTCTCTCTGGTTTCTCTCTAGTTTCCCTCGTCGGAGGGAAACCGGCAGCCATAGGCCACCGTACTCCGCCGCCGGCCACCGCCGCCGGCCACCGTAACGGTGGTCGGAATTCACCAAAAACACCCCCAAAGCGTAGATCTAAACGCCCTAAGACCGATTCCGGTCTTTGTTTTCCCTACAAGACTCCTAATCGGAGTAAATCGACGAAAATACCATCGGTATTTTCTGTTCTCCGGCGATGTTTAGTGCTTCCGACGGTGGTCAAGGCTCCAAGGGTAAGTTTCTTTCTTCTTTCTTTGTTTTCTGTTTTGGTTTTATGTTGGTTGTGGGTTCGTCTCTGTTCGGTTCTTTCCTCTCTGTTTTTTTTCCGTTTTCTGTCCTCGTTTCTCTCGTGTTCTCCGTTGCTCTCTGTCCTTGCTGGGGTTTTTTTTAACTGGTTGGACCATCTGGCATCAGAGAGTCGGTCGTCGGGGTGGCTTCTGGCCTTCTGGAAGCCTCAGAGGCGGCTGGGACTCACTGGAACTTTGGAGCGGCGGCGGCGTCTGGAAGCTAGGGTTTAGACAACCCTAGCTGAATATTACAAACCCTAAAGGGTTTGGGTTCTGCTGGGCCAATTGTAATCGGGCCCCAGTTTTGGGCTTTGTAATATTTTTATTATTATTATTATTATTTTTTTTATTTAATGATAATAATATATATATATAATAATATATTTTATTTAATAATATTAATAATTAAAATAATATAATGAAAAAATTAGTGTCTACAAAGATGTTTAGATTTTTTTAGAGGTTTACATAGTTGCTAATCATCGAGTAACTATGTGCAGGTTGGACGGCAGACATGTGGTGTTTGGAAAGGTGCTGTCCGGTATGGACGTGGTTTACAAAATCGAAGCGGAAGGAAGGCAGAGTGGCATACCCAAGAGCGAAGTTGTGATTGCTGACAGTGGTGAAATGCCTCTATAATTATCAAGGCACGAGTCTTTGTTTATTCCGAGTTAAGTCCATGATAAATCCTCGGAGATAACTTCTTGTTTAAGATGTTTTCTTGGGAGTTCTTTTAAGCCGAGTTTGTTTAGCGGATGAAGATCATTATCTTTTAAGTTGGCGTTATCACATGGTATGGTTCACGTATAAGCTATTGTTAGTGGAAACAGCCTCTTGAGACTCAATAAACTTGCCAAATTGGAAGAAAGCTTTGTCATTAACTAGATCATTTGGCTATACGCAATATATTCATATGGAAAAAAATAGATTAATAAAATCAATCTTATTTTAAAACATTTAAAAATTAATTTTATTTCAAATGATTAAATATTAAAATGGTTAAATTTTATTTTATTTTATTTTAAAAATGATTATTTAAAAATCAAATAATTTTATATAAAAATAAATATTAGTAAGAGTTATTCTAAATGAGTCCCCAAACTTTAAAACATTCTAATTTCATTCTTAAATTATGGCTCTCATTCTAAATTAATCTTTAAAATTTTAAACATTCTATATTTATCTTCAAATTTGACCCTCATTTTATTGATCCCCAAGCTTTTGACTGATTTAGGGGAAGTTATTGGAATGTTCAAAAGTTTAAGGACCAAAGAATGGCAGTCATAGTTTGGGGTTGGATTTAGAATGTTTAAAAGTTTAAGGACTAATTCAAAATGAGGGTCATACTTTAGGGATGTATAGTGAAATTAACTAAATTACTAGTAATATGTGAATTTTTTTAGGGAAATAATATATTAATTAATCAAAAAACTATAATCATTAAATATTATAAAAAACTCAAGCACTATGAAGGATTTATGTTCCGTTCAATGATGACTTTCCTACTCCAAGTTGTTACTTGACAAAGAAGTTGCCAAATCTATCTCCGTGTGCTTTCGCTTTATTGTTCACCCAACTCAACCATGGATATTAAATTTAAGAATAAATTATTTCCAAGATCATTTAATTATGATTTTAGTGTTTGTTCTTGAACATGCCTTGTTGATTAGTGGTGGAACATGCTTCAATAATTTTATTATTAAAAATATTCCAACCATTAATTAAATTAAACTGAACCATACGTAGACACAAATATACATAGCATGCAAGCATTCATGCTAGTAGTAGAATTAACTTTCATTTAAAGGCTCGTAGAGATATCTTCACTCCGCCCAACTTATTTGATTCACCACAAAGGGGGGAAATGCCGTGTCCTCTACTGCTTAAATTGGTTTATCATAAACAGAACCTAGTAACAACTTTTGCTGTCCGTTACACGGAGGCCGGATAGCCTGCTGTACGCTCCCCGGCGATCTTGGCACTTCCTGTAGACATTCTTGAATGGAGCATGTGGAAACTAACTTTGTCGAAGCTAGGGATGCATGAAACTTATCATGCCCGGCCGGCTTCATGAAACTAATCGAATCATCTTCGCTCTCAAACCCGCATGTATTGTGCAGCTTCCTTCTTTGCACCTCATCCTTGACTCTCTATAATGTCAAAAGAGGGGAAAGTTGATTAATAACAGACCACTTTATGAAAAAGGCATTCTCCAGGTTTTATGGAATCTCAGATGCATGTTTTTCAGTTTTCACTCTATCATGCAACCTTTCGGTTATGTCGTGATCCAAAGAACACAATTTCGTATGTAATATGTATCACCAAGAAAAATAGTATCGTGTGACCAAAAAGAAATCCGATTTGGCCAGGGTAATATTCTTCAAATTACAAACCTATTTGACATTGTATAGCCATTTGATCCAAGATAAAGTAAAAGACAAACGCCTCTATGCTTAGGGAGCCAAATGCTATATGAATGGCAAATTACAAGTTCCCAAAGAAGTCATAACAAAAATAACAAAAACAATAGGACACAGATGTGTTCTGTTTCAAGACAAAGATTTTCTAGCAGAAGCCTTGTGTCGGTTGAGAGTAATGTCTTAACACGAATGTCGATTCATAAATAGTCTGGCACGGGATAATAAAAACAACCTAAAGTCTTCATGCCAGACAATGGTTAAGATAGGACAATACTTCCACACTTCTATGAATAATTCAACTAAGACAAACTCACATGAAACATTTTTGCAAGCAATTTAGCAGTGCCATTTTAAAAAAACTCGAATCAACAAATCATCACCTCATATTAACAATTAGTGCTCTAGAAAGCAATGGGAGGGGAAAACACACAGTTGTTATCCATTGACAAACGAACACACAAAACCTAACCATAATTCCCTAACAATGATTCTTTAATGTTTAAAACTTAAAAGTCTAAAGCCCAGATCCATTACGCTACACAACCAAATGAAAGTGTATACATAACAACAATGCACGATTTATATCATGCATTCATCCGCACAATGAAGCTGCCACGGTCGAATGCATATACACAAAACCAACATTAAAACACTAAATTTCATCAGTTAATCACTGAAACTGCACATGTTGAGAGGGGAAAAATAGAACAACACCAATGAAAACAGTACCTAAATGTCAGCTGAAACAATTTTCATATACGTGAAAGTGGATTTAACATAAAAAAAAACCCAGAAAATTTTGAAGCCACAAACCTGTAAAAGTCTCAAGTCGAACTTAGGGAGACCGATCTGGCCAACAGTAAGCGACCCAAAAAGGTTCCCCACCAAAGCAGCATCGGGGACAACCAACCCATGGACCAAACCGCCAACGAAGCCACCGAGAAAGCTATCACCGGCGCCGGTCGGATCAACCTGGTTAGCCCCAAAAGGCTCGATTTTCATTTCTCCATCTTTCCAAAAAACTTCACACCCATCTTTCCCACGTGTTATCACCACACAACACCATTGCCTCACTTTCTCTAAGTCCATAAACAGCGCCTCTTCCGATGAGGCCTTCAAAAATTTTACCCGCGGTAACAGATGGTAAAACCCACTCTCTTTTAACCCCACGAGCTTCACCGTCCCATCGTTCTTGTCGAAAGAACGGATTAAAGCTTGGATATCGACGAAAACGGCGTCGCATGTTTCAACCATTTTCTCCAGCGTTTCAGGCAATATCTCCCCGCCGACCCCAACGGCCATTCCGAAATCGAACCTTTTATCGGGCAGATCCGATGGATTGATCGGATCACAGACTTCGACACGTTTCAAGACCCGATCCTGATGAGCATTATCGGTGTGGCCCTGACCGAAATAAGCGTGGAAAACGGTGGATTTGGACGTGGGAATCACGATGGGGTCGTGATTAACCGGGTATTTAAAATCGAACCCGACTTTTGATGTTAAATGGGAAGAAACAGAGAGGGCGGTAAAGACGTTGGAGATAAAAGAGGAGGCTCCACCGAGGGTTTCGGCGACGACGGCGCCGTCGTGGAGAAGGACATCGTGGCAGTAATTACCGACAATGAGAACGCTTTGAATTAGGGTGTTTTGGGGTTGAGGGATGGTGGTGGTCACCATGGCAGAGAGAATGTGACAAAAGGGGGTTTTAGATGAAAAGGAGAATGGGAAAAAAATTTAGAATCCATTGAGAGGGGGAAAGAGAGAGATTTAGAGAGAAGACATGGAAGCCGTAAAAGGAAGACAAAAATCTAGGTGTCAACAAGCCGTGGACGCGCGACAGATTCACATACATTTGCCCAAGGCTGCAAAAATAAGTTAAAAATCACATTTTTGGAGATGTTAATACTTTGAATTGTGAACCTTAGAAAATGACTAATTTATTTTTAGAATTACAGGAGAATACAACATGAAATTTAGACTAACCATGCAACTTATTCCTTAAAATTCATATAAAATATTATTAAAATTTTGGTCTTTACAATATTAGCCTATCCAGAAAATAATTAAATCTTATTAAAAGTTTATTAAAAAGAAATACTTATTCAAGTTTTACCATTGTATATTTTGTCAAACAAATACTTGTATCACTTTTTTAAAAAGAGAAACACATATATCAACTAGTAAGGTTTAGGATTTTCAAAGTTCGGTTGTAACCGAATTAATCAATCGAGCTAAATATTTTTTGGTTAATCGATGGATTGATTTTTTGTTCGATCGGTTAACGGTTAAGAACTTTTTTTAAACTTTAGTTATTGAAAATTTTGTTTTCAAAATCAGTTAATTAACCGAATTAACCAAACTTTTAAATATTTAATATATTATATATATTATTTAGCCTAAGGAGTGTTGAAACTTCGGTTTTAACCAAATTAACTGAAAATATTAAAAGTATATAATTTATATTATTTATATACTATTTATAAATTTTGGTTAATTCGATTAATCGAACTTTATTCGATTCAGTTAATTTTTTTTTTTTAAAAAAATCAGTTTCATTAACAGTTAAGAGGGAAAAAATTTCGATTAACAATTCTTTGGTAGTTCAGTTCTGTCAATTAACCGAACCGACCGATTAAACGCCCCTAGTAAGGTTCATCTTTTTTTTTCTTTTTTATAAACTAAGGCGATTATAAAATAATATATGTTCTAAATACTTTCAAATGTTTGATAATATGTAACACTCATTCCCTATATATGCCCTCGTACACGAGTCATAGATGTCACATGACTTTTAAAATATTACTGTACTTGAAAACCAGTAAAATATTATTTTATAAAATGATTTAATATTATAATATTTAAAATGTCCGTTCATTAACTACTAATATATACATAACATTTTGAAACCCATCACATAGTAGCTTAAGTTCGCATATAATATAGTATAAACCAAATACCATATGTCCTATCATAGCATCATATAATGCCTAAGTACATGCCGACTAGTAATATCAAAATAAACATCTAGAGTTGTCATATTGTTACTGATGAGGCAATCCTTCACAAATGATATCAGCTGCACTCCTCACTTCGATCGTACGCTATTACCTACGTGTGAAAATCATCACACGCTAAATATTCACTTAGTGAGACATAATATAATAAATGAGGTATATTAAAACATAAGTATTTCATAAAAGATCAAAATATGAGTTTAATCGTATAGAATACATTAACGCATAAATCTGACTTGATAGGCCAATTTTCCTTCAAATAACCTGTGAAACAGTATTTCATATACCTAACATACTTATCAATTAGTATATTCCAAAATATCCATTCACAAACCAATGTATGAAAAATGAGAATGTAAAGTACACAATAAACACCTAAGTGTCGCAATAACGTATAGGTACTGTGGTACACAACAACACTATATTAACCATTTTCGGAGTAGTAATCTCGTACGACTACCATCCTTGCACACAAAATACCATAGTACACAAAGTACTATTAAGAAAATGCAATAATGCATTAAACAAAATCGATAGATATCCATCACACACCAAGTATGCCAATTACATACATAGTGCTACAGTACACAAAGTACTACTACAATACCACCTTATCTATAGTATTACTATTGCACATATGACTCTCCATGTAAATACAATAGGCTTTAAAATCCAAATCGCAGGTTAAACATTTATTCCAAACCATTAATAAATAATAATTTGTGTGAAACACATCCATTCGTTTTAGGGCAATTCATACCCTAAAAATCATTTTCATAAAACTTTATGAAAATATTTCAAAATGCGTTCAAAACATGTTTAATAAAAACACTCGAGGTTGACTCGTCGCAAGTCATCCTCATATCATATAAGTACATATTAAATGCACTCACCTGGTATGACTCGCTATTATGTCTTACTGTCAATATCCGATTACTCTTGGACTTTTTCCTTGCCTTTCGCTTTGCTTGTATCACGGTTTGGATCGCAATCTACACAAGCATCCATACAAGCATATACAAATATAAAAGACTTGTTAGTACTCTTACTAACATTTTATACATGATAATGATACCTAGAAGTATTATTATTTTTTCGAATTCTTCTAAACTTCATCTTAAATTTTCCTTTTTACTCATAATGGGCCTCTTGCCATTATTTCCTTTAATTCAAGGCCCACTAAGCCCAATAAATTTCCAGCATTAAATTTTCATCTCAATACCATAATTACCACTCAAGCCACTAGCCTTCTAAATATTTACCATTTATACTTAAACTTTGCCAAAATTTCTAAAATGGCTAAATTTCACATTATAGCTTCAATTTCAACACTCAAACAGTAGTTTACAACAAGGTAAATCAATTATTGAGTAATTATACATTTAGCCTATAACTTTTCAAAATTATTGAATAGGTCCCTCAACTTTTGAAAAATTAAAAAATGACCCAAAATTTTTTTCTAAGGCTTTTAGAACCTTATAAATATCATTTCTAAGCCATAGGAATTTTTCTACAATTTTCCCAACTTATTTCCTCAAGGCATAACCATATATGTGTTAGGGATTTAATGTTTTCACTTGATTCAATTCAAGCATGAAACCAACCTCTATTCAACATTATAAAATCTCTACAATCAAACCCCCTAACTTAATTTCATCAAATAACAATCTTTTCCCAATTCTAGTGTTAGGCCGAAATCAACATAATTATGTATAGACATGTATAGGTGATTTTAATCGACAATCAAGCTTGTAAATGATTCTACAACCTCAATAACATCTAAATCTTTCATCATATCATGAAACCCTAATATAAACATAAACCCTAGAATTTGGGATCTTTGAACACAAACTAAATTAGCATGTAATAATGGTACCAAATGATAGCGTTTTTCGAATATAACAATTTTCTAGTTCACAGCTTGATCCAAAATCCAAAGGAAATTGTTCAAAATTGAAAAATAAAATTTCTCTTACCTAGATACGGGGGAGCACGAAATGGATATGAAAAATATATTGGTTTCATGAAATTTCTCCTTAATTTCATGTTAATTTACCTTATATTTAAGCTTAAATGAATATAATATTCATTTAAAGAGAAATGTCCAATTTGCCCTTAATAAAACTTGATATTTACCTTAAAAATAAGCCACATAACCCTTATCATCTTTATAAAGTCAAATATGAACCAATTAATTCACCCTTTCCAACTTTACCCATGCAAATTTTCTAAAATTTCAATCTTGCTATTTTTCATCAAACGGTCCAAAATAAACATGGCAATAATTTCTCAAATCCAATGATCCATATTATTTTCCACCATTTTAACATGTGGAAATAACTTTTTTAATCTGGATTTAATAACCTTCAATTTTTCCCAAAATTTTTTTCTATCCGATTTAGTAAATTTTTACATGACTTTAACACTTTTTAGCTTTTAACATAAATTCTGGATCCAAAATCTGTTTCCCACAAAACCCCACACTTAAGGGTGAACTATTTATTTATGGGGTCAGATTACCTAACTTTTTGATAATTATCTTTTTGGTCCCTAAACTTTTCAACTTTATACTTTGGTCACCGAACGTCAAAATTTTACGTTTTGGTCACTAACCAAAATTTGGGATATTACATTATAAATACTTAATCACTCTTGTAATCAGTGGTGCTTAAACTTATGATCTCTAAAAGGAATAACAATTCATTTAACTAGTGAGGTAATTTGATTAGTGCGTAAATTTTTTCTCTTAATTTAGAAAAAGAGTATTAATTTAATTTCTGTCATGTGCTTGGACAAACAAAGTCACGTTTGAGCACTTATGAATGTGAACAAATATCAATATTAAATACAAGTACAATTTTTAATTTTCTCTATAGATCTAGTAATGGGTTGAAAGTGACAATGTTTACTTAGTTGTCGCAACTCGAGTCTTTTTGATCTTTTTAGATTCATGATTTACAAGAATCCATGGCCATTGCAATTTGAAAATTTCATCGCAACTTTTGTGGAATATGAGTCAAAAGAATTCATGCGAATTAGCATAAATGATAGATAAAAAGAAATTTTTTGAAAGTGATTATACATATTAGTAACATCAAATTTCATATATAAATAAATATTATAAAATAAATATTATTAATAAAATAAATAATTAATAAAAAATTAAACTCAAAATTTTAAAATAAATAATTATTCACCTTAAACCATACTTACATCCATCACTAATTAAAATTAGACTTGGTGTTCGATTGCTTCTCAAAAGGAAAAATAAATATAGTTTACGATGGAGCAAAACAGGTTCGTTTATGATAATTTTCAATATGAAAGACCCAGTTTTTTGGGCAATTTTTTTATATATAAGGTTGTGGGAAAAATATTTTTCAATTAGAGAATTAGATTTTTTTTTTAAATAGGATGGATGCTACAATGTCATGAAAAGTCGTCGAAATCAATAAATATCTTTTGAAAGATACGATGTCTTCCCACATTAAGTTCGTATTTGTCTTATCTGCATTATTATTTCTATGCCAAAAGTTATGTATTAAGCTTTGAAAGACACCAAATATTCTAAACATCTTTATAAAAATATCAGATAATCTATACGTCTTTCTCAATTTATTACAGAAAATACCCAATTTAAGAAATGAAATTTGATGATCATTTTGGAGATTTTTCTCCCACCCCATTATTTGGGTGATTTTGCCCAATATTTTGCCAAATAAACTCGATTTTTATAAAATTTTAATGAATATAAAGTGATATATGTTTGAAAACTCGAAT